TATGATGTTCTGAAATGTGTGAAGTAGGGCTGAGTTTAGTTCTTGTAGAAGGCATTCCGTTTCCTTACATTACACATTACGTTACACGTTCCATTTCCTGTGTGAAAGTCCACACATGTGATTGCTATTTTAATGTTAGAGATTTCAATCATGATTGTTACTGTGTTATTCATGTTTCTATCAGCAACGAACACGGGGGACATTATACACTATGGCTTCCATCTCTGTACTTGAGGCAAAGAGTTACTTGCTGATGGAAGGCCAAGGAGATTGCCTTCCTGCACATATGGTTCTTGTAGTAGTGCCAGGTCTGCAACACTAGATGTCATTTCATGATGTTTCAGGTGGCTGCTCTTACCCACTGAAGATTGGACTGTAAGATTTCATATTTATTCTCTCTCTGCTAGTATCTTCCTCAGTTACTGCATTAGTTCCCTGGCTGAATTCAGTTTGGCTACTTCTTGTCAGTAACATGGACATTTTGAGGCATTTATTGGTGTGTCTAAGGTACTACCTATCTTTACACTGGACAGACTGCAGTTGGCACAGCTAATTGTTACAAAGTTGCACTTTTCTAACAGATGGTCTTTCCACAAATTGAACAGGCTGGTTCTTAGTTGCAATTATGTCTATCGTGACCAAATTTCTGGCAATTGTAACACTGTCTCATGTGGAAATATTCTTTGAAAGTACAATGTAAATTCTATTTTTGTCAAGTAAGTATTCAGCTTGTTCCTATGCAACATCCATTAATCAATGGCAGGAGCTATCCTCCTTCAGGAAAGAATGTATTGGGAATATAACCTCCTTTGTACTGCTTAAGATCAAATTGGAGAAGGCCTCTATGATGTCCATGGCTGTACTGTTGTAGCCCACCAAAGATTATTATGGTCTATTTGTAATGAATTATTCATTGTCTTATATTTATATTGTGTTTTTAACAAGTAGTACGTGATTAGGTAATTTGGTGCCTTAGCAGCCCAGGCACTCTTACGGTTATTGAAATATTCTGGTATTTCTTTGATGGTGGAACTCAATTTTATAAGATACAGTACAAAGTCCATAATCGGGACTCGTCGGTACTTCGGTGATTCCGGATTAGGGGTTTTTCCGGATTTATAGATCACCAATTTAAATCTGGTAAGATGGCATGCAGAAATTATACAATTAAACATATGAAACCATAATTTATGAAATAAAGAGCAATTATGATCTAAAGGGTATCAAAATTTACAAAAAAAAAAAAAAAAGCTTAATATTTATTTGTTTACTTTAGTAAACATTTCTATCAATGTAAGTTGTTTAAGTTGCTTCGTTTTTTGTGCTAATACTTTCTCTTTAATTCTATACAAAGACAAAATTTCTTGTTCAGTTACAAAGTTCCATTTTTCAAGTCCTGTAATTGCTGTGTCAAGAATACCGACTAACTTGTCAATCAAAATTTTTTCGTTTTCGATAACGTTCTCTGTTACTTTCTTCACTATCAGAAGCATGCATGGGTAAACGCTTTACTGGCTTTACGCACATGTGTAGTGGACGTGCGTATCAAATGCGCATGTGTAAACGCATTACGTGCATGCTTAAATTTGTGGCTTTGAGGTCCGGATTATAGATCATCCCAGATAATGGACGTCCGGATTAGAGACTTTGTACTGTAAAACTTCTTTCTGCGCCTAAGGAATTCTTGGGAACATGTAGGTCGGATTTGAACCACTTTTATGTCCACTTTGCTGGGTTTTATACTATTAACCAGCTGGTTTTGAATACACTCAGTATTGTGACTCACGTCCTTGCTTTTAACAAGTAGTATGTGATCAAGTAGTTTGGTGACTAAAGATACCTACTTCAGTTTTCCACATTTGTTAACCACTACAGAGAAATCTTCACTTATTGCTTCTTCCTCCTGCTGACTGGCCACTGTTTGCTGAACATGTTCAGCAGTTACTGCCACTGCAAACATAATTGGTGTGACAATGCCATGATTTGCCTCTGTTATTAAAAAATGAGGACCACTAGTTTTATGGTGATATTCGGAAATTTTCGCATATAAACCTGAATCACCTTGCAATCTGCTTTGTAAAGCTTGAATTTGCTCCTGCACTCTATAAGAAACTCCCTAATATTCTCTGCAATTGCATTAATTATCTCCAGTCTGGAGGTTGTAGATGGTTGTCTTGGGTGGATTGTCAAAAGTGTTGTGTCCGTAGCTGCGGTTGACCAAGTTGGAAAGATGTCACATGACCCCACTAATTACGGGAAGAGGAATGATGCCATGACACAGTTATTATGATACTCCTTTACTATAGGTACCTCAGGCAGAAGGTACTCAATACTGTGACCAAAGTTGACTGTAAGAAACTATTGAAATTTAAAAAATGGCAAGTTATGATGTGAACTGCGCTCGACATCCATTTTACTCTACAATTTATGTGGGAACATTATATCACAATGTGCAAAAGTGCTATTTATTATATTACCAACAGTTAGAAAAATAGCAATAGTTATACATGCCTAATACTACAATAAATACAACAGATATATTTATATATTAAAAACACTAAGTGTTTATATATGCATAATAATTTAGTAAAAGCAACAGTTAGAAAAACATATATATTAATAATAAAAATGTATGTGAAAGACCAAAGAGAATACTTAACAAATTCTAGCTCAATAATGACTTACAGAGAAATATTAAAACAAGCAAGAGAACTGTTAGTGAAAACAGTTATAAAATCCAAAGTCCCAATAGTAAACAAAAACACGTGCAGTTTATCAAGGCAACAAAAGAGTGATCTGGCTCAGTATCTATCAAGTAGTTAACTTCCCTCTACTGGGCAGCGATGAAGCAATGGTTATGGTTTGCTTACTTATTAGAAAACGCCATTGCATTAGTTCACAATGAAAAAGCAACTTATTCTAAAATTACAAAAATTATATTGTCAGACAGGAAATAATAAATCCTACCATGAGTGATGGGAGAACTTCATGGATGAATGCACTAAGCTTTACTACTCATGTACTAATAATTCCATATTATACCAATGAGAGAATCCTACGGAGATACACTTGAGTGATGTTTACAAAAACTTTCACAGTGAAAATACAATATTAAACAATGAAAAAATAACACTACCATATAAATCTACACATTACACTCTTTCTGTTCATATGGATCACTTGAAGTTATTTTGAAGCATGGCATGGATGTGCAACGAAAAAAACAATGAACATATGAAATTAATGGCCAAGTAATCCTGTGTTAATCCAAAGGGATATTCTTACTTTTTTTTTAATTATGCCTGTCTAAACTCTTTCGAGCATACAGTGCCTTGCAGTTCAATAAATAAAGGAAATTGGCCCTGTAGTTAGGAGAGTCATAAAGAAGTATGATGAAAGAACATTTGCACAGCAGTTTAAAAAAAAAAAAAAGATGCTGTCCCAGTCATTGGAGCAAAGGCACACAGTCTGGGGAGTCAGCAAGTTCAAATCTAAAAAGATGAGCCTGTACGTAATCATGTTGCATCAATGAATCTGAAACAAGCCACACCAATACCCTTTGGCAGAGAAATACAGATCTGTCTGTCCAATAAGAGCACCAATTCAGTGCAGTTGCAACATTCCTGTAATGACATAGTCTGGTCTTACGGTTGCACTCTTTAATAGTCTGTTTGATGTTTCTAAGAGGAACATGTAATTCAGATTGGTTAAAACTACACCCCTCCTTAGCAAGCGAGTCTGCCTTGTCACTGCCAAGAGAATTGCTATGACTGGGAATCTGTTGCAAGATAACATCCCTCCCTAACTCAATTAGACAGCTAATCAGTAATTTGCACTCAAACTCAATGGAAGTAAGGCCAGTATTAACCAGTATTTAACCCATAATAGTTTGAATATCAGTCTAAAAATCCAAAAATAGAACAATATTTTTATCAGCTGTATTTTAAATGACAAGGATAGCCATCAAAATAGCATGCAATTCAGCTTCAAAGTTGTCACAAAAGTGCCCAATTGCCTCACTCCATTGAAATAATTCTCAAAAGACAGCAGCACTAGCCCCTCCAGCCATCGCAGAGCCATCAGTATAAATATGAGTCCAATGCACTATAGGATATTTCTCACAGATAGTAACCAGTGCTATAGTTTTAAGTTCAACAAGGAAAGAACTCCTTTTAATGCTAAGATGGCATCTTCGTATGGAGTTGAAATAGAGTGATGCATACAATAACTCTCATTATGAGAACACCAATTTAAGCATTAAAAAAGTAATAGCACTGCATGAATCTCCCCTTTTCACACTTTCAGTTACTATAAAATGCTTAATGTTATAGAGAAGCACTACACAGATGCATGATGAGAAAATTGATGATCAATATCATTCTTCGATGAACTTCACCATTGTGGGTGAAAGACGATGCACCCTTTTCACCTTGTATATTCAGTATTGAAAAATGCCTGAAATGATTGCACTAATAGCTGCACAAGCATACATTTTACACCTACCTATTCATCTTCCCTTGCCAAATCAATTATTTCCTTGCCCAATCAAATAAAATTATTACTGAAATAATGAAAAATCCAGTGAATACCACCATTTACTGTTGAGCACAAAAAAAAAAAAAAAAAAAAAAAAAAAAAAAAAAATCATGCTTGTTCGGGTCTCATATTTTTATTATGCATGAGGAAGAAACCCACACAACTAACCCATTTTATTAGGAAATGAATTCTAGATAAAACTACCAGTGTTTAGCAATTTTGGTTCTTTTGCTACCAATATGTTCAATGCTAACAGAGCCAATCGAAACCAGTATGCGTGTATGTGAACGTACGTATGTGTGCCTACATAAAGAGAAAGAGACAGAAACAAGTTCTAAAAGAAACTTCTAGAGGATAAAGGTAAGCTGTAAATTCTAAGCAAAGGAAAATACTTATTGAAAATAATAATCCTTATAAATAATATTTAATTCTATATTAATTACACTTTAATGTAAATAACAAACCTCGGGCAATTTTGTCTCTTTAACTTCTTTATTCCATTCGTTAAAAGCTCTAGCATCTTTGATGTGGAAATATAATTTTACAACTAGCAAAGCAATTAAACCGATGAAAAACACTCCAGCAGTCACTCCCAATGCTATCCACAACACAGGTTCCTTAGATGGACACTCTAAAGATAACAAATAATGAAAATGAGTTAATTTTAAAATCATGAATTGCAGGAAAATTTTTATTACTGTAAAACAGTATTATAAAATTATTATATTATAAAAATTTATTATTATTATTATAAAAATTTTTATTACTGTATTAACAGTAATTTAAAAAAAACTTAAAAACTGTGCAAAACACTCAGCTCTAAAGTATGAAAATATATAACCAATATTCAATGATCAGAACTGCATCTGGAACTCATATTAATATTCAAAATAAAATAATTGATATTAAAAAGTAATATAAATATTTTCATTTAAACTTCCTCTTTAAATTTACACTTAAGTGTAATTTGCTTTACATAAGAAAAGAGCTAATGAACTGGAAAAAAAAAAAAAAAAAAAAAAAAAAAAAAAAAGAGAGGAATATTCATTAATTAATCATGAAAACTCAAGTATGTAATAAATCAAAATTTCAAGTGCCAAAAAATTATTTTTAAGTTGTGCAGTTTCTGCAAGTTATAATAAAACTATAAAACCTTATATATCTTTATAAAGACTGCCTCTTAATGAACTGCTTTGGTTTCATTAAATGCTTTATCAAAATCAATAGTTGACTTAATTGATTTTGTACTGAATCTTTTGTTGGATGAAAAGATTTCTTCCTATACACATATCTATCTGGAAATTAGACTATAGGAATGAACAAATATATTGCTCTAGAAATGAAATACCTTGCAGAAGTTAAAGAATCCTAAAAATAGTCTAAACTGTACAAATGTATTGCACAGTTACACCATATACATATATGACATAGTCTAACTGGACAAAAGTATAAAAAATGTTGCTTATGCAAAATCTTAAATGTCCTAACTATACCTGGTAATGGTCCTTTCTCCATTTTGAAATTTCAGACATTCTACCAAAGATATGTATCAGTATAGAAACTACAGTATACACCAGTAGAATTTGAAGCTATTTCAAATGCTCTTCTAAACTTCACCCAAAATCAAATTTGTTCATAAGAATGTACACAAATAGTCAGTATCTCTTAATTTTATCCTAAAATGCTGATAAAGTGGCACCTAGAAATATGCTTAGAATTAATGCATTACAGACCCTCGGATTTATGTCAAATGACATTTTCCAGTACGGAATAAAGGTAAACTATAAGGTTTTAATGATAGTTACCACCTCCAAAAATATTGTCTACGCAAACATAGCATAAGTGCGTTTCATCTTATTTTGACAAATGATTTTTGGCATTTGAAAGAAAGCGACTTACTTTACAGCACTGTATTGTGAAATTTGTAAAAAAATAGCGTTATCAGTAAGTATGAGATGTCTGAAATGGAACTGTCAAGCTTCTAAATTAGAACCATCATTTACTTCCAGTTCTGTTGCAAAAAGTCAGCTACAGAATGTTACCAAATCATGTGAATAGCTTTGGTTACTAATGTTGTATCACATGACACTGAGAAAGTTTCGTACTGAAAGTTCAAAAACAAGGACTATGACATTCAAGAAGCAGAGTGCTCTGGCCGGCATACTGATGATGAGGCTCACCTCCGAGAACTTGTGGAAGAAGATCAGTATGCAACCACGTGGGAGCTTGTTAAAGAGGATTAGATGCAATTGCTATGTCCATTAGCTGTGCTATGCATCTCATAAATTTGACATATAAGTTAAATCGCTGGGTGCTGCATAAGCTGTGTCAAGCAGATAAAGACCGATGTGTTTGGGCCTGCACTAATCTGCTTGAATATCAAAGGAAGGACAGAATTCTGGACTGGATCATCACTTGTGATGAAAAGTGGATTTACTTCAACAACATGTGCTGAAAAGGGGTTTGGTCTGTGCCTGGTGAGTCCATCAACTAACAAAAAGATCATTCTTTGCATCTGGTGGGATTGACATGGCATTATTCACAAAGGGTATCTGGAAAAAGGTAAAAACCTCAACAGCAAGGTGTACAGTGAGATGCTAGTCTATGTTGGCGCTTCTATCAAGGAAAAATGTTGAACTGAGTTCGGCCAAGAACTTGTGGTATCATGCCAAGGCAAGGTGCAGCTGTTTTGCAGGTCAAAGGTTGTACAACTTGTTATTGAGTAATGTTTTGCCCCTTCAATGTGTATTTATCTTGAATTTGTAAGCTTGAAAATGGCTTTTGGGCAAAAGAAAATGCTTATGAAAATCAGTTTATGGTGTGCTAAAAATTTTTCTTTTTTAAATCTTTATTATATTATGAAAATTTAATTTTGAATTAAGATTTTTACAGACTGGTTTGAATAAAATTCTTCTCCTACAATATGTAAGAATCAAGACAAATCATTTAAATTACAGTACCTTTAAATGTAAAGCATGAATTTTTAACAATTTTTCATATATCTTACACTTTTTCTTACAACTGTAGTATTTACAATAAATGTAACTAATTGAAGCCTAAGAATTTTAATTACTGTTGATATTGTAATTATTTGGCGACTGTAGCTGCTAAGAACTGCAGTTTGCTTTTGACTTCAAAATTTAAGCTTCAAAGTTAATTAACCTGTGACACTGGTTAACCTGGAAACATGTTTAATTAAATAAATGCTTAAAATTAACCAGGTAACATGCTTTTTCCCAAATGTGTACCTTCACTCTTTTTCATATATAGACATATGAATCTGATATTTTTAACTGATACTGTAGCTGATGTTTTGAATTAGCCTTCATTAATTTCAGAGACACAAAGTAAATCATTAATGGCTTTATTAGCTCCGGGTACCTTTAGTTTTATATTAATGAATTAAAAGGACTTTTGGCTCAGCACATATTTATGTGTCTCCATGACAGACAGACATTATACATTTACAAACATTCGTGTCTTCTCTGGGATTTGAGCCTGGTTTCCTTCGGTAAGGAAGTCAGTATCGTTAAGCACTTTCCTGCCTGGGTGCCATTCTGTATGGATTATTTGTTTAATTGAAGGAAACAATTTTTTTCAAAGTGTTTGTTAAAATGTTAATAGTAGTATTATTTGTACACATATTATTAGAATTTCAAAAAACAATTTCAGAAAAACTTTGCCAGAAGAAATTTGACATGATTTAAAAATCTAGTCTCTCAAGTTTTCAATTATCAGAGGTGGTTACAGTTCCAGTTACCTCAAACAATAGGGAAACAATAAGTTCTACTATATAGATGTTTGCCAATCATTACTGAAATACACTGCTCGACATTGAAAATGCAACACCAAGAAGGAGTGGTCAGAAATTTATGCAAATTTTAGAATAGACGCACGTCACCAAGTTATGCAAATGATGTGAAATTTGCAGCTCTCTGATGCACGTGAAGTAAGATATAACGGAAGGAACGTGCAGAATGGGCAATATTTGTGTCGTTATTTCTGCCAGACGAATTATCAAAGAAAGTTGGTTTTTGTCCCAGAGGATACGTGTAATAGGAGAGAATGCCAGGCTGCCGTCGACGAAAGCACTTCCAGCAGATAGAAGATTTTACGAGGAGTATGGTGATCGGACTGAGAAGGGCGGGTTGGTCCTTACGTCAAATCGCAGCTGATACCCACATGAATGCGAGCATGGCGCATCGGCTATGGCGAACATGGTTGGAACAAGGAAATGTGGGAAGAAGGAGGGGTGCAGGTGCAGCCAGAGTGACGTCAGCACACATGGATCGATGCATCCGCCGACAAGCCGTGGTGGTCCCGCAAGTCACTGGTACCACGATTCTGCAGTATGTGCAAGATACTCTGGATGTTCCCGTGTCGACCAGAATCATTTCCTGTCGATTGGTTGAACGTGGCCTGCACTCAGGAGTCCCTTAAGAAGACTGCAATTGACCCTATAGCATAAATGCCAACGTTTAGAATGGTGCCAGACTGGAGCGATGTGGATGACAGAATGGCGAAACGTCGTGTTCTCAGATGAGTCATGCTTCTGTTTATCCAGTGACAGTCGCCGCATACATGTGTGGCGTCGACGTGGAGACAGATCTCTAATCCGGCAGTAACTGTGGAATGCCCCACCATGCGACAACGTAGCATAATGGTTTGGGGTGCTATTGCCTATGATTCTAGGTCACCTCCAGTTCGTATTCAGGACACTATGACGGCCCAACGACACTTCGATAATTTACTGCGGCCGGTGGCAATCCCCTACCTTCAGGGGCTGCCTAATGCAAGTTTTCAGCAGGATAACGCCCGACCACACAGTGCTTGCATCTGCCAACATGCTCTGTAAGGTATACAGAGGCTTCCCTGGCCACCGTACTCTCCTCACCTGTCACGAATCGAACATGTGGGATGTGATTGGACACCGTTTGCAGACTCTGCCCCTGCCTCGTTCAGAAGACGAACTGTGGCAAATGGTTGAAAGGGAATGGACAGCCATCCCTCAGGACACCATCCGCGTTCTTACTGACTCTATGCCTAGGCGTGTTTCTTTGTGCATCGACGTCCATGGTGGTCCTACTCCTACTGAGCCGACGCCGTTCTCGCTCTGTATTCTATCATTTTGAAATAAAGATCACTTATTGCTGCTTGCTGTCTCTGTCTTTTTCCCAAATTTCATCACTTTCTGACAACTCCATCTTGGTGTTGCATTTTCATTGTTGAGCAGTTTATGAATAAAATCAGTAACTTTATTACCACGTTTTTTTAAATTCTTAAATTTTCAAAACTGGATTATTATACTTTAGTTAGTTAAGCATAACAAATAACAAGGCATGTGTTGTACATAAAGAACAAATTTAACACAACTCATATGACATGTCATGACTCATATGACAATATTTATGTCATAAAATTATATCATCACATTTTTCTTTTCAGTTTTTCTATTTAATTTTTTCAATTAAATAGCAAAACTGAACAGTCAGTTTTCTAATTCAGTTTTGCTTTTTTTACATGACCAAAATCTGTTACATCACATTAAGAAAAATTATTACTGAATGAGATGTATTCAGTGGTTTATGCTCTACTAGATAATATGATTTCATTTGATAATATTAGTAGGTCATTTTATATCATTATATTCTATTTAACTGCATGTTTCTTTAATGAGGTAAATTATCCAGGCATACATACAGGAAGATGGTAACAAAAGATCTCTCATGCTTTTAATACAATTTGTAATTTACAGATCAGAAAATACTTACCTCTTGTTTTTAAAACTCGAATCACAGGTTTATTATTATCATCATAACCATACACAAATGTGAAGGAGCAATCTTCCTCATCCTTAAATATGCATTTTCTTTCATTAGGAAAAATGTCTGAAAAAATCAATAAAAATGGTAAGAATTTAAAATTTGTTCTTTAAGAGCAGCTTATTGCAATGATTGGCTAATTGTTCACAGAAACGTCAGTATCAAGTGTACATAAACATACAGAGAACACACAAAAATTTTAAATTAAAAATTACAAAAGTATTCTCATATGGTAGATAATGTATAAAAAGATAATGTCATACTGAAATTACAACAGAATGTAACTGTTAATTTTAAAATTTCAAACTAAAAACATTTTCCTAGTAAAGAAATTAATTTCAGAAATAAAAATTTTCATTCAAAAGTTATTCACAATAATAAGTTTTTTAATATAAAAAGCCAATTTTTGATATTAAAGAAAGACCATATATACCTGCGTATAAGTTGAAAATTTTTCAGAGTAATGGGCCAACTTATATGCAGACGACACATTAGTGAACTTGATTATTAAATATATTATTCATACAGAAAAATAGAATATTGTTTATTTATTCTTCTTATTTTTTATTTATTAATCTTCCTATTTCACATCTGGCATCACAGACCAATTCAATCTGTTTAATATCTGTGAGGTGCTCTTTAGTTAATATAACTATATTGAATCAGTAACTGTAACTATACCAAATATGTCAATGATTACATCTTATTTAACTTGATCGTACATATGCTTTTTTACTTTTCCTGCTTTTCGTAATGTCTGCTTTATCAGAATCTACAAAAAAAAGGGGCTCTTTTTAGAGCCATACATTCCCTGCAATGAGTTGTGTAAAACAAAAGCAATTGCCTTATATTGTGAAATTCAAGCTGAAAGTAGCTTCATTTTCAGAAAGTACAAAAACTGCATTGCATCACGTAAGTTTTGTATGCATAAGAAGATGATCCATCATTGGAGGGAACATATTAAGGAAAACTCCTGTATCTAAACAGGCCCTACATCATGGATCAGTGTTTTCTCCAGAACTAGAAAGTGTTAAAAGACTGGATTCTAGACAACAGACAGCATGGTTATGTTGTAACTCGAAATGTGATATGTTTGTAGCCACGTAACTCACGAAAGATGAAAAATATGCGTCTGTAAATAACTCTTTTCATGCATCAAAACATTGGTGCACAAGATTATGGACTATGCTTACACCATTGTACCAAAAATTCATAGAAACTGCCAAATTACCTCAGAAATTTATAAACTTCCAAAAGTATGTGACTGAAAAAAGAAAAATAACTAATTTTGAAATATCCCAAAAAAATGGATGAAATCCCCAACACTTTGACCTCCCTGAAAATTTCACAGTTGATAAAAAGGTTGAGGACTAGTCATGGAAAACTCATTTCACAGTAGTTCTTGCCTGTTTAGCAAATAGCAATAAGTGTCCTCCCATGATTATTTTCAAGCAAAAAACATTACAGAAAAAGACAGCCTATTTGTCAGGTGTTCTTGTTCGCGTCCACAAAAATGGTTGGATGAACGACACCTTAATGATTGACAGGTGTATGTATGGTGCAGAAACCCAGGTGCTCTTTTAAGGAAACCTCTTTTGATTTGGGATATGTTTTGACAACATAGTTCAGAAATGGTAAGAAAAGCATGCAGAAAGTTCAAAAACAACACTTTCTGCGATCCCAAAGAGGACTGACATCCATTTTACAACAACTGGATATCGGCATAAATCAGGCATTTAAGGTGAATATGCATAAGTATTGGGTGGAATGGATACAATCCAATTTGTCTACTAAAACTAAAGGTGGAAATGTTAAAAAGCCAGATATAACTTTAATAGCAAGGTGGATGAAAGATGCTTGGGGCAAGATTTGAGCTGAAATGACTATCAAATCACTCAAAAAATGTTGCATTTCCAGTAACTGAAATGGCACAGAACATGATGCAATCTATCCAAGTGACAATAATGACACTAACTGTGATGAAATTTATAATGACTCACCAATAACTGAAAAAGAATTTCCTGATTTATTTGGCAATTTTGACTCTGAATCAGATTTGAAGGATTCGAATTAAATTCTTTGAAAATTTTGTTCAGTTTTCAATTTATATGTGCTAAAATGAACAAAAGTTCACTAAATCATAAGTAAAATTTTATCGATAACATGCTGTTTTATCTGTAACCACAGTATTGTTCATGCGACAAGTGCTTGTTTTTCCTAAAATTTTTCTTAACATTGGTGGGTCAACTTATATGCAGGTGTCTATAGTATTTCCAATCAATATTTTAAACAATTCCTAAACTAAATATTTCACTTTCTTTAAGAATTACCTATTAGCAATAATAAAAATCAATATAATGTAATAAATTCACAGGATTATGACCACATGGCTCTACTATGACACTGGTTCTCCTTATTTAGATATTATATCTTTTAGTACTTTTTTCAATATTTTACACATATTCCTCTATCTCATTGATAAAAATTTTACTACAATCTTACATCCAATCAGTTAACAAGCACTAATTTGTCTAATACATTTACTTGTTTCATGTCTCTGTCTCACACTATTTCAAACCATGAATGTCGGTCCCTGTTTTACCTCAGTAACGGGAGTCTCGATACAAAATATTACATTTTATATCACTGTAACACAACCACTTCCTCATTCCCTTGGAAATGAGTATATAATTTCTAAACCAGGCTTGAAGTGCTAAATATTTATCCCCCCTGTAGAGTCCTTAGGATTTATGGAAGCAGAAAAGATGAAAAATATGCAACCCCTTCGCCAGAAATCGAACCACGGACCTCTGGAATACCGGCCCAGCATGCTACCGTTACACCCCGAAGGCATGCTAGGGAAATGGAAGAAATACCTTATATACTCTCCATTTTAAAGGGTGACTAGGTTTTAGGGGACCTAGTCGCCAAATCCTGGGTGCGAAGAATCATCATCCACAACCCTTTTAGTTCGGGCGCCTCTTGTAGAGTCATTAGGATTTATGGAAGCAGAAACGATGAAAAATATGCAACCGCCTTCGCCGGGAATCGAACCACGGACCTCTGGAATACTGGCCCAGCATGCTACTGTTACACCACGAAGGCACGCTAGGGAAATGGGAGAAATATCTTATACCCCCAAAAAATTGTAGAAAATTGCCAAATTAATAGTTCTTTATGTTTTCAATCAGGGCAAAGGGTTGATGCTATAATCTATGAAATTTTCAAGACAATATTAAATCTAGTTTTTTCTTTTTTATGAAAGAATTCAAAATTAACAGAGAATAACTGAAAAAACTTGAATAACTTTTGAAAAACCACCTAAAAATAGTAAATTAATTTAGAAATTTAGAATAGACTTCTTCTAATAACTTTTTTTATACTCTACCTGATGGCACAAACAATGAAATTCTGCAATCATTAGTTTATTCATTAAAGGAAGGTGTGTGAGAAAAATCCACAAAAAAAAAAAAAAAAATAAATAAATAAATAAATAAATAAATAAATCATTTCAACATTAAATTTTTTAAAAAATGCAAATTGAATTTAAAAACAATTCTTTCAAGAAGTATATTTTCATCATCTGGAAAATATATGTGATAAATTTCATATACCTAGAAATGTTTATCTTTGCAATACAGTATATATACATAATCAGGCAAACATAAACTCTTTTATTATGATATATTTTACACAAATTATAACAAACAGTTATGCAATTATATCTCTTTTTACCTTTTCATTTTGAAAATTATGTAATAAAAATTATTAATTACATAGCTTAATTGCTCATTTAAATATATGTTTAAAAATGCTTGTAAACAAAACAGATTTAAAATGAAATATGATCTAACTCATCCTTCAATAATACCTCAATGCAAATTTGAGCACAATCAGAGAATAAAAAAAATTATATGCACGACTTTATTATTATTATATCCCCCCCCAGAGAACAGCTCTCTCTTTTCATGAACAAGTAAGATCTTAATCCTAGAAGACGTGAGTTATTAATTTCATGACTAAAATGCACTGTGTGGCTTCTGGCTAGTTTTCTAAGTTTCTCTGCACATAAAGATTTGTGTGTTTGCTTATTACAATTTTGTGTTTGTTTCTACTCCCAAACCTTATTTTATTTCCAGTTTACAGCTTACAAAAAGCATGCAATCCCAAAAGAGAGATTATTTCAATTGCTAAGATAAATACTAATGAGTAAATGCATGAAAATTTACATTAACAAGTCTATTACTATGAAAACAAACAAACAAAAACAAATAGAACTTTCCACCCTGCAGAAGGTATTAGCCCTGGATTTCTGCTCTAAAAGCGTCATATATTTAAGAAAATCTCAGTAAATATATAAGTACGAATTAAGTTATATATTTCAACAAAATAAATAAAATATAAGTTACACAGAAGATCAGAGAGCACCACAATCCTCTAGAGGCTCGCTCGGTGGTGGTGCCTTGAAACCACTGCTTTTCACAATGACTTTGCTTGCTTTTCAAATAGGAATGATTATTTTTTCCCAAATATAAATAAGAGGCTTTAAAATCACAGAGTTATTTTATTACTAAACAATACATGCACTTGCCTAGTGAAAAAGGCCTTTCTTTTCCAGAGATTTTTCTCTGACCTCAACACACTTGCTTCCCAAGCTGGTATTGTGATTTTATAAATTATTTGGTGTGGTTTAAATTTAATGTAAATATACTTTGCTATAATTAAAATCAGAAATCGCATAAAAGTTTTATTTAAATTAAAAATATTTTCTAAATATTTTGGGACGAAATAGGAATAAAACAAATATGAATGGAAAACGAATGATCCGTAACAAAGCCAAAAAGACCAAGCCCCCCCCCCCCCACACATTAACATAAAAAACCACAAATTTCATGTGCCAGATGAAAAAAAACTAAATAACGGTGGACACATACCAGTGAAATTTAGAAGATATAGGCAGTGTACATTTTGTAGCCCAAGGAAATCTCATAGAACAAGATGCATATGTGAAATGTGCAATGTGGGTCTATGCAAGTACCAAAAAGAAAAACCATGCTTGGAACAAA